TCAAACAATAGAATCAACCGTAAGTCAGCGAGTAGGCTGTGTGTTGAGCTATAAATAACCTATTAAATAGGAAACTCGGATTGCACGCTCGCACTAATTAATATTTTCTTATTATTGTAAAATACATGATTATCTTTGGTTCTGAATGTAACATTTTCCAATATTTAACCATATAAATAAATAATTACCTCAATTTAATGTAAATAATTCTTCTAATTAAATAGTTGTATAGATTTACTATATTATTTGATTGATTAAACTATTAACTAGTTAGTCATCAGTCTGACAAATCTGTCGTTTTATTCTCCAAAATAAAATTATTTTTAATTGGTTGGAAATAAATTTAATTTTTTTTTCATTTACATTGTGCAACAAACAAATCGTTTTTAAAAAAATGAGTTTGCCACTTGAGCTTCTGACTGAAATATTCAAATATATTGAAGATAATTACAAAACATTATATTCTTGTGTTTTTGTCAATAAACAATGGCACAATATCAACATTCCAACTTTATGGAGAGATCCATTTGTTACTAAAGGCAGTATCAAAATATTAATTAATTGCATACTGGAAGAAGATAAGGATTTCTTAACTAGAAATTGCATTGAATTAACATTTGAACTATTGGAGAGGCCACCATTATACAATTATGCTAGATTTTGTACCATATTTTCCAAGCGTCAGGATTTTCAATACCTGCTAAAAAGGGGAGAATTAAATCTACAAATTTTAGAAAATAAATTAGGAAATTTTATTTTAGATCATTCAGCAGGTATTAAAAAGTTTAGTTCTTGTTATGTAGATTGTAACTTATTAATTAATCATCATAGATTTGATAATTGTTTTCGGAATCTTTATGAAATAGATTGTAGTAATTCTGATAGTGGTGAATTTTTTGATAAATTAGCAAATATTTGTAAAAATATTCAATCATTAACAGTATATTGTAATAGTAATGACAAAAATATATATAATTTAACACAGCTAATTAAAGTACAAGAGCAGATTAAATATTTATCTATTACATCACCAATGTTACCAGATGAATTAAAAAAAGCAATATTAACACATTCACAATCAATAATTTTTTATGAATCTTATGACATTGAAGATAATTTTAATAATCTCTTATTACCAACTTTTAAGAATTTAAGGACTTTAGAGTTATCAATTTATTCTATTAGTAAAATGATAAATTTGAAAAATATTTCACTGCCAAATATTGAATCTATAAAATTATATATTGCTTCTCAACTATTTCTATCAGACTTGTCTGATTTTATTAATATCAATGGAAAAAATCTTAAAAATCTGTATGTTTATGGTTGTTACAGTGATGTATCCTTTGGAAAGCTATTTCAATCAATTGCACAATATTGTAAAAATTTAGAAGATTTAACTATAATGTATATGGATGAACTAGACCAGGAATTAATGGAAGTACTTAATAATTGCATTAAATTAAAAAGTATTAGATTTAATAAATATCATGGGAGTATAGATTTTGATAAAATATTGACAGTATTAAATGAAACTTTACCAGGAAAATTAAGGTCAATAACTTTCACTTATAATGTTTATAATGTTAGTAACCACTCTTTGGATATTCTAATGAAGAATTGGAGAGGACCCAAACCTTTAGTGATAGGATTTGATGTATATAAGTATGAAGCTTTGCTAGTAAGTGATGGAAGAAAAATATTAGAAAAATATCAAGATTTAGGGTTTTTAATAATCAATAAACAATAATCTGGAAAATTGTAATTTGTTCAATTATTCTTAAAAACAGTTTGATGAATTAGAAAAAACCAGAAAAATATTTGAGGAAGCAGATAAAAAACCTTTTAATTTTTCAACAATTATAGCAACTTTTCATCTAAATACTGTTTATACAAGTAGAATAATTGAATTTTATAACCCTACCTCAATTATTAGTATATCAGATGATTTATTTAATTTACGAATAAATTTTATTCATTAATCTTTTTATTATTATATAAGTTACTTCAAACACAAGGAAGGGATTACTCTAAATTAAAATAGACAAGTATAAATAATAAGAAGTAGTTGTTCACCATGCCTCTTATTGTTATTATTATAATTATAATTATATTCAAGCATTTATAATTTATTTTTTAATATTTATATTTTATTTTATTTTTGTATCCATAAATAATAAAAAATTTAATAAAGGTCATTAATAAATTAAAATAAAAAATTCCTTCTTTTTTAATTAATAAAAAAAAAATTTCACTTGTCATGAAGCATTCCTCTAGTTTAATAACAAACAATGTTGTGTGTTGTGTGGGGAATCAATTATAAATGAAATTCAACCACATACAAATTTTCATGGGGGTAAATCAAGACCATTGAATCCAGAGACAGATTTTTTTTTAAATTTTGTAGCCCTTTAGCATTAACTTTTCCTAACCTCTCATTAGCATTAATTTAATGTTAAAGATGATTAGTGGTGGGAAGTGGTCTTTGTAAAATGTAAATTACATTATTGATGGTTTCTAATTAATATTTCTAGAGTCCCTTTGGTTCTAAATAAGGTTTCTTGCCAAAATCTCTTAATGACTCCTGAAACTCTGCCAAAACTCTGATAAACAATTAATGTGCACCTTGCTGAAACCCTGCCAATCAAAACTCTGCTGAAATTCCAATAAATGAATAAAAATAAAAATGATTAATAATTATTCTCAAAAATTGCAATTCTAAATATCTTTATCCAAAATTATTTAAATTCTGATTCAATAGCCAAAACTTTGGGTGGTTTTTTTACAACCATTAATATAGGGAATATGGAAAAGCCAGAATGTTGCCAAAATATTTGGTAAGTGCTAACTAATTTTGACCAACATGTATGACTCACACTGGCAATAAACACTTCTTTAGCTTACAAACTACAACTATTAATAATGTCACTTTTATTATTACATAAATGAAAAAAAAATCAAAACATGTTTGAATTGTCTTTAGTATCTGAATTTGAAACATATTAGGCAGGTCAATATTAGTACAGGGAAACTTTTGTATACACATGTTTGAGTCAACTTAAGATTGCTTGCCAAAACCTCTTAGTGACTACTAAAACTCTGTTGAAACTCTAATGAACAATTAATATATACCTTGTCAAAACTCTAATGATTGACAAAACTCCCAAATGCAAAACTCTAATAAATAAGTAATGTGTAACCTGTTGAAACTCTGTCAATTGATTTCTGGAGGAGTTTCACTCACAACCTTATGTCAACTTGATGCTTTTTTCAAATTTTGACTGTAGTATACTTTAGAATAATAAAAATAATAAAATACAAATGTGTCAAGCTGTCTTTAATGTCCGAGTTTGAAACAATATAGGTGCATTTTATATGCACAGAGGGAATTTGAAAAATTGTAAGAATTCTTGGTGATGAAGTCCCTGCTAAGATTATTGGCCACCTTTAATGTAACACAGGTGCCTGCACTTAATTTCCTACACTTGGTGGTTACTAATTAATCTTTTCTTATAAAAAGAGCTGGATCCCCTTTGATATCTAATCATATAAGCAATTAATTGCCTCAACTTAATATAACAATAAATAATTATCAAATAATAATATATATATTTACTATATTATCATTTGATTATTATCATTTGATTATTTGGTTAATTTCTCACATCACATATAAACTATTGTCACCAATTAAATTTGGGAGAGCATGTTTTAATTGGTGATAACAATTATTTTTGTTTTTGTGTGGATCAGAATGAATAGGTTATTAACGAATTGATTTTGTTATTAGCAAATAATTTTGTTTAAAGAAGATAAAAGTTTTAAATAAATATTTCTATTTTAGTTTTATTTAGTCAAAACTAATTAACTTATTACCAAGTTTTCCTTAGTCAAAACTAATTAATAATTAATAAAATAAATAAAATAAAAATAAACATTAAGAATTTCGGAATTAGTTAATTACAGCCAAAAGAGCATCCAAATTTAATTCCGGTAACACTATTTGTTCCTCCAAAATAATTTATTTTTAAATAAAATTTTTTTTCATTTACATCGTGTAATGTTACAAACAAATTATCCTTAAAAAATATGATTGAAATAATTAGTTTGCCATTTGAACTTCTGACTGAAATATTCAAATATATTGAAGATGATTACCAAGCATTATATTCTTGTATTCTTGTCAACAAACAATGGCACAATATAAATATTCCAACTTTATGGAAGAATCCATTTTTTTCTATAGGCAGTATCAAAATATTAATTAATTGTGTGTTAGAAGAAGATAAGGATTTAAATTGCATTGAATTAACATTTAAACTCTTGGAGAGGCCACCATTATACAATTATGCTAGATTTTGTACTATACTTTATGATTATTATGATTTTTCAATACCTGGTAAAAAAAAGCAGAAAATTAAATTTACAAATTTTAGAAAATAAATTAGGAAATTTTATTTTAGATAATTCAGCAGGTATTAGAAAGTTTCACACTTATTATGTAGATTGTAATCTATTAATTAATCATCATAGATTTGATAATTGTTTTCAGAATCTTTATGAAATATATTGTAGTAGTTCTGATAGTGGTGAATTCTTTGATAAATTAGCAAATATTTGTAAAAATATTCAATCATTAATAGTATATTGTGATAGTAATAACAATAGTATATATAGTTTAGCACAGCTAATTAAAGCACAAGAGCAATTAAATATTTATCTATTGTATCACCAATATTACCAGATGAATTAAAAAAAGCAATATTAACTCATTCACAATCAATAATTTATTATGAATCTCATCCCAGAAATAATTTTAATAGTTTCTTATTACCAACTTTTAAGAATTTAAAGACTTTAGAGTTATCAATTTATGCTGATAGTGAAATG